GTGTCACCTTAATTAACATGAGTATGGGTGGTCTAAGTAATGGCAGTTAAAGTGAAACCAGGTCCAGATGTGCCTAACTAGTCCTGAGTTGCTACTATAATTGTATGATTTAAATATAATTTGTGGTTAGGAACATATGAAAGTAGAATGCTTCCTTTCATTTGACAATTTGCATGTTGCAACTAAATAGTATAGTCAGTATTTATTCTTTTAGCCCATTATGTCGAAAAAAGAAAGTGGGGCACAGGGACGCAAAAGACGTGCACAATTTGCAGCTTCGATGGTGGAGTTAAGCAAATTGATGAGAGCTTTCTTTGCTGGAAGTGATGACACCAGTAAGTCAGCATCTGTTCCTTTTGATGGCAGCAAAGAGGTCAAAGTGCAAGACTGTGAACATGCTATTTCATTTGAAAAAGAAAACATTGAAGAAACTGTTCTCTGTCCTGTTGAAAGCTACAATAATAATACACAAGAGGATTCCACTTTGTCAGAAACAAATCCATGGAATAGTGTTGCTAAGCTAAAAGAGGATGATCTAATAAATATTTTAACATGCAGGGATATTGAGTTTATGAAGTTTGATACAACAGGCTCAGCAGTTGTAACACATGCACATTGCACAGAGATTGTTAAAGTTGGAGCACATGAATTTCAACATAAAGAAGGTCCATTTGATGCCAAAGGTGGGCATTCTATGACTGCATTTTGGTTCAAATGATGCCTTCTGAATGGACAAGAGATCAATCATTCCTGGTTGGCGTATTTACCTCTACATAAAGCAGCATACTGCTTTTGTTGTCTTCTTTTTTCGTCTACATGTATGACATCCGATAGTCAGTCTGCTTTCAAACACATGGTGGATTCTCTAAGTGGAAAAAAATTTAAAAGTTAAATGCCCATGAAACTAGTGACAGTCATCGTGAGTCATTTGCTGCTTAACAAGAAACTGAGCACTGAATTTGTCTTCAAAGTGGCATTGATGAAGAGTTCCAAAGGCAAATTCAGCAAGAAAAAAATAAATGTAGAGATGTACTGCGATGGTTGCTGGATTGTACACAATATTTAGCTTCTCAGGATCTTGCATTTCATAGTCATACTGAGGACATAACCTCAAACGAAAACCCTTGAAATTTCCTGTCACTTTTGCAGTTATTAGCAAAATATGATCCAGTAATGAGAGAGCATTTAGAGCGTGTTTAAAAACAAGCAAACGGCAACTTCTTATCTTCCTCCTGAAATCCAAAATGATTTTATAAATCTCATGGCTTCACATGTGCGAAATTATTGTTTGTCAGCAATTCGTAGAAACAAATACTATGGTATTCTGTTTGATTTCACACCTGATTTAGCCCATCGTGAGCAATAGGCCCAAGTGATTCGGTTTATTGACATTGACTTTAAGTCAAAGAGTCATTTATTGACTTTATACAGATAAAGGAAAAAGACACTGCCAATATTGAGAAAACAGTAAGC